TTTCAAAAAACTAAACGCGGACGATGACGCGGTTAACAGTGGTTAATATTTATCGAATAAACTGCAACTCTTGCGCACGTAAACAAATTGATCCTGATTGGATTGTAATCCTTACCTACATAATATGCAAAAGTATTTAATATATTATGATCAAATCTATACTAAATAATGTTAATCGAAATCGACTATAAAGGTAGGTAACAACTTTTCTCAAACCACACACACACACACACAGCCCTAAGTCAAACCAACATAGAAATGGGCGCATTTTACTATGAGCGAAGTAACAGTCAATAACTGCCCAATAAAAATCCAGTATCGGTATCCATCGAGCTTCCAAACGGGCTGAGCTTTTAACGAGACATTTTAAGTGCTGTCCATAAAGTGTTAAGTGTGTGTCGTTTAAAATATTAATGCTCGACACCTGTTCAAAGCTTTTCCCTGGTAATCATTTTAAAACATTCTCGTTACTTAACTGCTATAATATGTTTAAATCTAAACAAAATTTTACTAAAAATGCACTCGAGTCAAGATTAAATCTTTGTTTGTTAATAACATTTTTTACACAACGCAGCAAATTAATCGATCCCACCCGATGTAAAGAGAAGTACAGCCGCAAAGATGGCTTAAACGGCAAAGTGTGATGCTCCAGCCACCCTGACCTTTATAGCCTGTACCTCGTGGAGCCCTGTAACCTTACCAGCAACAGATACAGAACAACAACATAAGGTAATGTTGTTTTACTGTGATAAAGGTTATTTACCCAGAGGGAAGCTCCAATCCGAGTGGATAACTATAAGGGCATGAATCTCTTTTTCTTCTAATAACTCGTAAAGTTGCATTGTCTTTGTTTACTAATTAGGTAGATAGCTATTTATCAACGATATCAGTGTACCTAGAACTTTTAATGTAATTGAGTTACGAACTAAATCATAGTTATGATTTGTAACATCTTTCCTCTCGCTTTCCTGCAATTTGTGGGAGTGATTTCGTGAAATAGGACGGAAGTGTGTAACACGTAGTCGCGAAAGCGAACGCTATTTAATTTGATTTTAGAACATAATATTCAAATGGCATATTCCTTTTGCAGTATCTAGGTTTTATTTCTTTTTTTACTAATATAAGGTGAGGTTTCAAATGTTACACATCATACGCGACTACTGTAAGGCTCGCTCTTTTATTTCTTATTAAAAATACTAATAAAATGCCCTGGGCCCCTAGGCCTCAATTTCCAAAGGACTAATTAAGCCAGAGCCTATGACGCAAAGGCCAAATAGTCGCTAACTATGCTTCTATTTTTCAAGTCCTTTAATTAACTTTTGTTATTTGGGAATGCGCGTGAGAGATTGTAACCCAAAGCAATAAAAAACTTATCAAAATTCCTTTATAAATCCACAAATCCAAACTGTTCGATGAGAGACATGTTTACCATTATAATACCTAATATCCATTAAGATTAGCTTTACTTTTTATAATTGCCATTTACTCTTCGCGAAGTAGACAAGTAAATGAGGTGGACAACAACCTGAATGAATAACGATAAGCATGTTGTAACTTAACATCAGCTTTGCATGTTACCGTAAGCAGTTAGACACAACTACCAATCATTAAACTGCGCCAACTATTATTATTGCATAGTGTAGTTTAATAATAAATAATGGGCACAAAAAAACTACCAGCCGGCTGGTAGAAGGCACGTGCCGAATACACCTGTCCAATCGTCAGAGTGTAAGAACCATGCAATTTTTCTCCAACTTTGTAGTATGAAATTACCTCAATACTAGGGCAAAGTATAATATCAACTCAATAGATGCATCACGTAGTGGTGTTGCTGTAATCGTATGCTATTTTAAATATTTGTTAAGAGCATGGTGTATCTTAAAACTAATACAAACTACTAAGTACTGATTAAATTACAAAGCATAGAGCAACAAATGAAATAGTGTTAGATACCGAAATCTGTAAAAATATTGGCATATCTTTCTCTGTAGTTCAAAGCTATAAGTAGTCATTTGTTTGCCTCATAGACGTAGAGGCGTCATATTATCTTATATCCAATGTTGAATTTCGAACAAATGCGTACTTGACAAAAGCTTTTGCAAATAGAACTCGGTAGAAATCTATTATTGGTTTTCTACAAAAGCTTCCAAAGCTAAGTATTTTTGTAGAAGAGTTACAAAATATTCTTCGTAAAGCCCACAAAAAGAGATCAAAACTTTTGAAAAACACCTAAATGGTCTTGCCAAACCAATCGTGAAAAAAATGTCCGCTGAGGACTTATCGCGGACTCATCGCACACGGTGTGTGAACATGTGCTCCACGAATATTTTGAAAAGCGCACGATACTTATGAAACTAAATATTCTCAATTACGTTGTCTTGTCATGAACATCAAGTTTAAGAAAAAGACAAGGCGTTTTAAAGAAAAATACTGGGCGCGCGCAACGCAAAATTCGCTGAGTATGTTGCTGCGCCTAGTCAATAGAACTCATGTCTATTTTTTTTCGGGTACTCCCGCGTACTTTTGTCCTGTCCATTCTCTCGATGTCCTCGGTTGTTCGGAGAATTTTTTATGCGGTACTTTTAATTCCTCGTGAGCGTTACTCAATGCAGTTTTAAGCGATCTATTTTAGTTAACAAAAATGTCCGCAGCCAAGGTCCTTCGTCTGCGCAGGCCATTACGAAGAGACTTCACACTTTTTTTAAATTTATAACTCCATCTCTCAATGACCTTATACATAGAAGACCATTGCCATCTCTCCTCATAATCAAGAGTACCTAAATGGAGTCCCAATGTACATATTTCTCTCTTTTCCTTCAGCAACTTTACCTACTTACTGTAGGAGCCATGGTAGGAACAGATCACAAGCTATTTCAAAAAAAACGGTGGCAAAAGCAATCGCCAACAGCCTTATTGACATCAAATGTGTGGGAGATGCATATGTAATAGGTTTCCAAAAGTAAATTTATTGGTTTTACGACACCTCAGTCAGTGTACGTAGGACGGGACTGGGCGCCTAGCTGACGTGCTCAAGTGACCATTGGCCCATTAGCCATATTGCGAAAACATACAATACAATCTTATTGCTTCAAAAATAATTAAGTAGGTACTAGCTCTATAGAACACAATCACGTGAAGTAACGGAGACTACGAAATTGTAGATATTCCTTATGCAAAGTTAATATAACTCTTTGTAAGTTACACGCAGAGGGAAACCTATTAACTATATTAGTGTGACATAAAACTATTTTATTTTAATTTTAAAATAATTTAGTAACACATATATTTCTATAATTCTTTATTTATTTATTGAAAGAGGAAATCACGTTTATAATATTCACCACATCGATATTTTTATCAGATTTTACGATGGTTCTTACGTGATTCGATTTAAAAGCCTTTTTTCTTATCGGAATCTTACTACCTATCTAAGTCTTGTTGAGTTGAAGATAAGGTAATTGACGATTCGAATAATGAGATGTGTATAGAAATTAAAGATATTTAAGAAAATCATCTATCCGCAGTCATTGCTCCGGTTTTACCAACAAATTCAGGGGCGTATTTACTCTAGGAGCAAGATGGCCACGGCCCGGGGAAGCTGCAAGAGCTGTGAGAGGCAACAGAAGCCATATAAAGGCATTTTTTTTATTTATTCATGATCATGGATACAAGTCCTTTAGTCGTATAAATAAATACAAATTATTTTTTTACATTATTTGTGTGACGTATTCTAATGTTTCTTGTAGAGTTTGGCGCGAAATGTATCGAGTTGGTTTTTTCAAAAAGCTTCTGTGAGGTAGTCAACACTACAATAAAGTTCTCACGACCACTTGACCGGAATAGCGTACTTATATTCTAAAGATTCCACTAATTTTTCAGTTGCGCAAATGGTTGTTACACAAAATCACACCAATTCTATTTCACAATATCCACTATGAACGATTAAAAGAATAATTAAAATAAGACACCAACCGCACTCGATGAAATCCCAAAAACTCCTATAAAGGCATTCTTTACAAGGGTTGCCACTTCTTATTGTCCAAATTAAGTGCATTGGAAAATTACACAGCTACAAAAAAAGTACATCATGTCCATTAAAGTACTTTTCATTCCACTTTATTAGTGAGATTAAAAATATATTTTTCGTTGCTTCTAACAACTTCTAATAACTAATTTATGGCTACTATTTTTTTTAGTTTTTATCCACAATGGAAAACGCCATGGTACAAAGCACACAGCCCCGACAATGTTGCAAGAATGAGTTGGGCGACTTTAACATGCTGTCGTTCCGTTTTATGCAAAAATTCGTACCTACTATAAAACGTTTATGTATATTTTTATGTTAAATTAATCCCCGAGAAATCAAATCACACGAAATAAATTATATTGTAGTACTTTGCCGTTGGCATTAAGTATAGAGTACAATTACCCGAAATAGCGTACAATACTTTATAATAAAGTACGGGTGATAACCCTACCTACCTATATTTACTAACCTATATTTTGACTAATTCTAGGGGGAAGGGGGGTGCAAATCGTAACTGTCCCCGGACACTAGATTTTAAAATACGCCCCTGCACCAATTCAAAATCAGAAATCTGGGTTTTAAATCTTTCATGCACTTACTGCTGTTGAGCAATATTTTTTTTATTTATTTATCATTATTTGATTAAAAACATTACCTAATTAATAATAGAAAAATAATTAAAATAATGATGGTGTTAGTGGTTCCTATGCCTCTAGCACTTCTGTTTGATTTTAAATGAAATAGGTTCATGATTATTAATACTAATGCTTTGGCAAACATCGAAGGTTCCTACGATAAGTACTACTTAAAATGAAATAAATGTAGTAAATACTTCTACTGAATACTTGAACAATACACATTCATATCAAATTCACAAATAATTTTCGTTTATTAAAGTTTTTCTTGAAACTAACGAAAATAAAAGGGCTTGTCTTCATCAAAAGCCTCGAGTTTTTGTTTTTTTTTTACTTACCAAAAAGGGTTGTCCACAAAAAAGTTCCGCTTTTATTCCGAACAGAACTTACTTATTCACACCTTCTGTTTTTCTATTCACAGCTATTGCTAAGTCGAACTTAAATAATCCCCCACACTAAACTTTTATCACGAATCAAACAGTCACAGTTCGAAGCAATATTTTATAATGTTTTATCAATAAAAAAAAAGAAATAATATCGGCACTTTGAAACTGCGCGTTAACACAAATGTTATGAAATTATAGTATAGGATTAATAACGATGAAAGTCCAAGACCACTTTAGAATTAAAAAAATATATAGTTTTCCCGCCAAATGATTCTTTTTTTTTCTCGATCACGATAAACCGGAGCGGCAAAGTAACGCGCGTCTAACCGCGAGCAAAGCCGGTTAGGCGCTGTTGACGTTTTATTTTGAATCGAACGAGCCGCGCTTGGTTTCCAAGACGCGTAGCGGCAACCTCCCTGGATACGGGGCGCACGATATAAAATCTTTCTGGACTTTTATGCAGCATTTTTGCTAAATCTCAATTTTACAGAAAAGTGTCAAAACGTCAATGTCAATTTGACATTATAGTATGGGCTATAATAAAAGAATCAATCAGAAAAGTGAAACGCTCAAGGAAGAACGTTTATTCTGTTATTTACTTTATATCATCACCATAATCCGTTCTACCGAGCAGTCTTTCTCGTGGCTCTCTCACTACTGGACATTGGCGAAATTTCTGTATAAAACGGAGAAAGCGACAGACATAAAAAAGAACAATAACAATATCAAAAAATCAGCACGTTTCAATAACATTAATCAATATAAAATTTATATTCAATATAAAGCGGCTTTATCTAAAATCCTGGATAGCGAAAAGTGCTGGTTTCTTTGATATTGATTCCTTTTCTAGCAACATTTTTATTACATTTAAAAAATCTAACAGTTTTATGCATCAAATAAATTCATTCTAATAATAAATGCGAAAGTGTATCTGTCTGTTACCTATTCGCGCTCAAACCGCTGAACCGATTTATATGAAGGGTCAAAAGGGTTTGTATGGAAAACCAAATTTTCCACGCATCCGAAGTCGAGGGCACCCTCTAGTATTTAACAAAATCATTATACAAGATTTTTTTCATTCTGTAAGTACATTACTATTACTGCCATAAGACTTTTAAGTTTATTTTCACTCTTAAAAAAATCTGTCTACACTATATGAAACACTGTGCGTTCTCAAAACATAAGTTTGCTCTGCGGAAAACACGACACTTTTGCTTTAGTATTTCAACGCTTTTGCAAAAAAGTCTAAGTTGAAATGAAGTGATGAAAATATGTATGAAATTTCGGTATTTCTGGACTTAGAAATATAAAAATCAACATTTAGGCTGTTGATTCAATGATATTAAATACGGTTGTGTTTAATATCGTTGTGTCGATAACAAATAAAAAAGGATATGCTACATTATTTTTGGAGTTGCATCCCTTGAGATAATAGAAGTAGGGTCAGTTCGCCTGTTCGCGTCCATTTAGTGCAGTTGGAAAGTTTGACGGCGATAATAAAAATATCCCAGCACTAATTTCTATGAAAAATTTATATAATGTGTTCATTATATAGTCTATTTTAAGATTAACTTTCAGTTTTGTTCGAAACATCTATTGTTTTTATTTAAATAGATAAACTCCGGAATAAGTCGTTTTACCCACTTCGCGTCCACAAAATCCAGATTGCGTCCAGCCGTGGACCATTTAGCGTCCACCACCTTAGAAAAGGAATATAGGGGTGATATTTTTAAGAATTTGTATTTAAAACTTGTACTTATTTTAACAATTTCTTTATTTTAGAATATAAATATTAAAACCAACATTATTATCATTAAAATTATCACTTTAAAAAAGTAAAAAATATTCTTCTCAATATGGATTGAATTTAAAATTATATAAGTAGTAGGTAAATAATAATTGCATCTTTAAGAATAAACAGTAATCAGTTCTGTTAATTTTACCCTAAAATCACAAGGCATGTTTTTCTCACCGTCGTCTTCTACATCTGAAATAAGTATATCGTCACATTTAGAAAATTTTCTGTCTTAAATTCCTGATTTACCATTTCCTGTGTGACTTCTTGAAGAGCATGTATCTTCTTCTTTCGTTTTGGAGCAGTTTTACGAACCGTTTGAGAGTGTTTTAAACTCTGTTCTTGTTTCTCGGTTCGTTCTACCTTTTTTTTCGTATTGCTTCCTGCTTTTCGTTCTTGATCTGCTCTTTATCTTCTTAATACTTACTCCATGCAGCAGAAGATATGGTTGCTAGAGTTCTTTGATTATCTTTTCGTGCTTTGTTAGAAATTTCGGGTAGCATCAGGTGGTCCCGGTTTCTTTACTTCATTTGGTCTGCGCCCACTGATTTCGTACAATATGTCTATGTGTCTTACCGATTTATTCTTTTCTCGAATTTCATTTAACGCTTTCTTTAAATCGTCTTGTGTATATTCTCTTTTCCTTCTACTTTCTTGTCTCCGAAGAACTCATCTCAAATAGAATAAAAATAAGAATGAAACAAATAAAGTATTTGATTCATCATCATCAACATCATATCAGCCGTATGACGCCCACTGCTGGACATAGGCCTCCCCCAAGGATCTCCACAACGATCGGTCCTGCGCTGTCCGCATCCAGCGTTTTCCCGCGACCTTCACCAGATCGTCGGTCCACCTTGTAGCGGGTCTTCCCACTGAGCGTCGTCCGGCACGCGGTCGCCATTCGAGAACCTTTCCGCCCCAACGGCCATCGGTTCTCCTCGCTATGTGTCCCGCCCACTGCCACTTCAGCTGGGCTATTCTTCGAGCTATGTCGGTGACTTTAGTTCTCCTACGGATCTCGTCATTTCTGACTCGATCACGCAGGGAAACACCAAGCATAGCTCTCTCCATTGCCCGCTGGGCGACCTTGAGCCGTCCTATGAGACCCATAGTAAACGACCACGCCTCACTGCCATAGGTCATCACTGGCAACACACACTGGTTAAAGACTTTCGTCTTAAGGCATTGAGGTATTTTGGACGCGAAGATGTTCCGCAGCTTCCCGAACGCTGCCCATCCGAGTTCGACGAGAGATCTCTTTCTCGAAGTTGAACTTACCTAACTGGATTGTGTGTCCTAGGTAAACGTAGTGGTCAACAACTTCAAGTGTAACGTTCCCAACATTAACTGGAGCGGGTGCAACATGGGCGTTGGACATGATTTTAGTCTTGTCCATGTTCATCTTAAGACCCACTCGCTGGGATGCGTCACTGAGATGCTCGAGCATGGTGTTCAGGTCTTCCAAGGTCTCCGCCATTAGGACTACGTCATCGGCAAATCGAAGGTGTGTCAGGTACTCGCCGTTGATGTTAATGCCGAGTCCTTTCCAGTCCAGAAGCTTAAAAATATCCTCCATCGCAGCAGTGAATAGTTTCGGAGATATAACGTCTCCCTGTCTTACCCCTCGCTGTAGTTGGATAGGATTAGAGCTCTGATTCTGTACTCGGACCGACATAGTGGCGTTTTGGTATAGGTACTTTAACACTACGATATACCTGTAGTCCACTTGGCACCTCTGGAGAGACTGCAGCACCGCCCAAGTCTCGATCGAATATAAGGCCTTCTCATAGTCCACAAACGCTAAGCAAAGTGGCCGATTATACTCTTCGGTCTTCTGTATAATCTGCCGCAGCGTATGGATGTGGTCTATGGTACTAAAGCCTTTTCGGAAACCGGCTTGTTCGGGAGGCTGGAAGTCGTCGAGCCTGTCTTTGATTGATTGATTGAAATTACTCATTTCATTTAAAAACAGCATTAAAAATACGTAGTCTTGATAATAATGTATAATTATAATAATCAATACCTATATTTTAAATTATAATTAATTAATTGTATTTAACGAAAATAGTGGACGCAATTTGGTTTACTATTATCCCCTGTAGGTATAGTTTGCGCCCATTGCGGACGCAAATTGGAAGTTTTGTAATTTCGATGTAGTAATTCGCGTCCACCTTATTTTATTCATTAAATATAAAAAACATAAGAAAATTTAAAATAAATATCATTCCTTTTTTACCTATAAAAGTCTAGAAACAGCTATGTATCCTAAAATTAACATAAAAAAATAAAAAACTTACCATCGAACGCGCCGCTGCACACTATTTTTTATCTAAACATCCCGCGTGTACGCACTCCCTTGATGAATAACCGAGACTAATTATTTTTTTAAACGGGATTGTTTGGCGCACCTACCTTTTGACCATGTGTTCGTGCCTCTTATTTATTAAGGTATTAACGGTAATTATTTTTCGTTTGATTGGTGTGTTAGTTTACTTATTTTTGAGGATTTTTTAAGGGTGATCCGTAAAATGGACACGAATTGGGCGATGGACGCGAACAGGCGAACTGACCCTATGAAAGTTTTTTTAGGCAAATCGACATTTTTGAAGCGAGTTAATAATTAGGCATCCAGCAAATGTGTAATGAAACAAGGAGGCAGATGATTATAAAGATCTGAGGTAGGAAGGAATTTAAGGAAATTGATCTCTCTTTCATTTTATATGTTAATTTGGGGATACCTAAGTTTTTTATGGAATAATCATGAAATCAGGCAGACCAGTTAAGCTCATCAACTAAGATTTTATTAAACTTGAAAGGGAGAATTATTTAATTACGAACTCAGACGACTCAGAAATATGAAAATTGTGTCCTTTTGATTACAATGAAAAACCGGCCAAAAGCCTGTTACCACGGGTAAGGTAGAGTTCCGATGTTTTACATCTTAAAGCACAAATTTTTAAGTAGTAGGTTTTCCTTTAGTTTCCTTTAATGTACTACTTACTATCGTATTTTTTTACATATCCAAAAAAAGATATCGCTGCCAAGAGGACGACGGCACTTGATGTAACTTGGCTCTAACAATTTGCACTTTAAGATTAAAGAAACTTTATTTCTCATATAAAAACCATTACTCGCATGAGAAAACATTAGATAAGCAAAAGTATTTGTGTAGTCCAGTCGATAGGCGGCAGACGTAGTCAGTAGTAGTTCTTCGTTTATTCCAAATCATCAGGTAGGTATATTAAGTTGTTTTAATCTCTTTTAAAAGATACTTATTCATTCTACCTCCTTTACACATATCGGGTAACATGTTATATAGCTGTGCTCCTTATAATGTTTTTTTTTTTTAGGTACCGTAGCTGATTCTAGATTTAGGGAGTACCAACTTGTTATATGTTCTAAGTGAATAACTAGGCAACTCGGGAAATCTAAGTTAATTTAATTTTGGTGTTTAATTTTTTTGAGAGAATTTTGTAAATAAGTATTAGCATATTCTGTGTTTATAATTGGTTTAAGTTCATTAGTTTGGTTTCCATTTAAATTTTATCGGTATACTAGTAATATAAGTAATTGAATAGAACTTTCATGATTTTGTTTTGTAGTAAGTATTTGTAATTCTTTGAATCTAGAGTTAGACCCTCTTCCCCACAATTCAATGAAATAAGTAAGGTGTGATTTGACAAATGGGTTGTATATCATCAATCGACCCTCACGTGGAATACACCTTTCAGGCGACCTTAAGGGGCACACCAACGAACGGACCTCACAACCAGCTTCTCGCAAATCTCACGGGTGCGAAGCCAGAGGAGCCGTTAACAGTCCGCGCGAGCGCTTACTGCATACCATCTGCTTAAAAAACCCTGCAACTACCCTCTTCGCTGCGGAATCGCAAGATACCCGTTGAGGGACTTCACCGCGTCTCCCGGCCCAGCCGGCACTCCACAGCAGGGATCACCTGGGGCATTGCGGGTGATCCCACAGACGTGCGCAGGACTGCCCGTGCTGGGAGCTAAGTGCGCGGCCTATTGCACACCGCACCGTCCGCTGCGGAAGGACTGCCTAGGCGCTCCCCTCGCAGCCTTTTCCGCTGTCCTCTCATGTAGGACAGAGCTACAAGAGAGGGCTGCAGTCACGGAATCCGATGTCCAGTATAGCTAACGCCAAGCTGGGCAGCGAGTAATTATCAGGAGCTTAGATTAAAACAAAAAGGGTAGATACGGTACGCTCATACTAGCATCAAATAAAAATATGATCCGACTCAACTACTGCAACTCTCGCCAAGCACTATATATGTCTGTGATAAACATCAATCGAGCGAGCGAGACAGAACTATACGCTTCAACGCAGCGTATTGTTGTCCTTTTCTTGCTTACAAAATGGAGATTACGCTTTTTTTTTTTTCTTTTTTTTTTTTTTTTTTTTTATCCACAATCAGTTAGGTACTATAAGTGAATGCGTTGTCAGTCCAATAATTGCGATGAGTGTACCCTCCATTGAGAGTACTACTCCATGTGCTACATCCAGGTGCTACATTCGCTCCGATAGTGACGAGATATTATGCCTTTTAAGCCGGTTACAGTAGGATTGTCTTGTAAGTGCGACTGCCAGCTCGTTGGGATGCTGAGCAAGTCGTTTTTGGTATCTTGTAGATGTAGCCCGGATTTCTTCCTTTACTGTGCTTATTTGTAGGTTCTCGTGGATCTCGTTGTTTGTTACAAATCAGGGCACATTGGATATGGTGCGCAAGATAACGTTCTGTAGTCTTTGTATTACGCTTATGTTGGAGTTACTCGCGCTACCC